AAGGCATTCTGAACAGGGGACACTGCCCGTCTTTTAGCTACTGATCTCTTTCTGAGTTTTACAATAAAAATCCTCTCCTATTTAAGCATTTCTTGGAGATATTTCCATAACAGAGAAATGGGGTTTGCAGGAGGATTCCTCCAGGACAGCAAGCACAGGAAAAATAAAAGGTACTGGGCGCCATGCCCTCGACATGGTGAGAGCAGGTCAGGGTTTCCTTACTGTTGGTCTCACACCCAGTCCTCTGTGAGGGGGAACGTGGCCACTCTCACTGTTCTCTCCAGCTCCCGCAGGAAAGAGGTGTAGACTTCTCTGAGAAGCATGGCCCACATTTCAACCTGCAGAGAGCATGATGGGCCCCCAACTCAGGCTGCATGCAGAGCTCACGCTGCATCCGGGGGCAGCAGGCAGCAGGCCCAGCCCCCGTGCGAGGACTCTGGCTTCCTGAGGTAAGAGGGGGCCATCTGGGGAAGTGCTGGCTGACCAGGGGCCCTCCCATGGGGGCAACCCTGGGAAAGTCTGCGTGGCCAGTTTCGCTTTTTTTTTTAATATATAAATTTTTATTGATTTCAGAGAGGAAGGGATTGAGAGAGAAAGAAACATCAACGATGAAGGAATCATTGATTGGCTGCCTCCTGCACACCCCCGACTGGGGATCAAGCCCACAACCCAGGCATGTGCCCTGACCAGGAATCGAATCGTGGCCTCCTGGTTTACAGGTTGGTGCTCAACCACTGAGCCACGCCAGCCAGGTGAGCTTGGCCTCTTTAGCGGGGACACAGCGCCCCAGCAGTTTTAATGATGCAGTTGCAGTTGACGAAGGGGGTACCTGCATCTGCTTGTTGACATCTCCTGAGTTTTAACTTCAACCCGGGCCCAGATTGAGAACCAACGAGAACATTTTAGGATCCAGTCGGAAATATGGGGGCTGGGAATGAAACCTTTTCCTGATCCCCAGTGGAGCCTCCTGACCACCTAGATTCTCCGCCTGCCCAGGCTCTGTTTCAGTGACTAGAGCTGAGGCGGGTGCACATTTGTGAGGCAGATGCTGAAAACGCTTGTTTTCAGCATCTGTTTGTTCTCGTCATTAACTCCGTGTTTGGTTGTGGGATGGAAACTGCCCCCAGCCCCTTCCCCCTTCGCTGTCTTCCGTTAAGCTGGGTTCTGCAGAATCTTCCTAGCCGTTGTAGGTTGCAGCCAAGGCCAGGGAACCCTCTGTCTGCCCCAGGTCAGCTCAGGGTGGAAGGCAAGGAGGATGGAGTGGATGCGGAGCCTGACTCGGCCAGATGAGGGCCCATTTTCGGCTTTGAACGTTTCCCCCGATTCTGGCACAGTGCTCCATGGCACGGCCTTTTTTGGTGGGCACCAGGGGTGGGAAAGAAGCAGCCAATTATTTGTCTAACCTACAAATCACATTTCTGAGATGTGGAAGGCAAATGCTGGGAGCCCCCTGCTTCCGATTCAGTGTCAGATGCCGGGACTCGTGAGGGACTTTGTCCACGTGAGTTTTGTGCTGTTATGAAAAGAACAAAGAGATGAAGCTGGGGATGGGGGTGTGTGTGTCAAAAACAGCAGCCCCTCCCGGCCCAGTAAACATGCCATTGCTTGGCCGCCTCCACTCCAAAGGCGACCACTTCCATTGCTCTCCGAGCAAAGAAACCTTTCTTCAGCGTGAGTGGCGGGGTACAAAGGCAGAGTACAAAACGTGCACACATCAGAGTCCCCGCAATTCCGTTTGAACAGGCATATTGATTGGGTCTGACCCTGTTACATTTCCCCCTATTATTTGAAAAGGTGCATCTAAGTGTAGTGAATTGAACCAGCAGAGCTGAACTTTCCATGAGAACTTCTCGAGGTATTTCTTTAGTTCAAAGCTTTTGAATTTTAAAGGGCATTTTTAATATGAGTCTGTTGAGTATTCTCTGCCGCAGCCCAACAAGGGATGTTCAGTGCAGATGAGGCTGGAGTGTGGGGGTGGACTCGCCCGCCTGGCGGAGGCCGTGGGTCGTGGTTGGGGGTGAGGACCAGCCAGGAAGGGCTGTGCTTTGGGGTAGAGGCTGAGCCCTGCTGTGGAGCCGCACACAGAAGGGTCCTCTCTGAGCTCTGGGGACAGCGTAGGGAACAGGGAAGAGGCTTCCCAGTTGAGCTCCTCGGAGGCGCTTGTGGGAAGCAGGGAAGGATTTGCTAGGGGCTCCGTGGAATGGATGAGGGTTTCGTCTTCAGGAACAAGGGGCTCCTCACTTCTCCGTGGCTCACTGTCTCTCACACTGTGCTTTAGAAGCTTAGAAGTGTGCTTCCCTGGCCTGGGGCTGCAACCTACAATATGAGAGCAGGAAGGAGAGGCCAGTCCCTTGGCTGAGGTCACGGAGTCAACAGGAAGCTGCCACTGTCCTCGGCCCTTGGGCTGACGTCACTAATCAGCCCCAGATGCTTTCCCGCCGAGCCCTGAGCCGCATTCCAGTCCTTAACCGATTCGGCATCTCGGACATTTCACTGGTTGTGTGGTCCATCGCAGTGGTCCCTCTCGCCACCCTGGCCCGGGGCCCTGGAACATCCGCAAAGGCTCGTTTTCCGCACATGCAGAGGGGCCGTCCCGGCCCACCGAAGGCACACAGCCCGGGTGGACTAAGTTTCTGGCTCCTGTGGGTCCCAGTCTGTTTGCCTTCAGAGGCCTCTTGGATCTAGAAACCACCTCCTTCTCAGACCCAGCATCTGGGTTCAGAGATCGCATGGTCACTGGGAGGAGCTGGGAAATTGGGTCCTGTGCTGAGAAAACCAGGGTGTAGGCTTCTCGGCAAAACCCTCCCCGTGTTCTGGCCAGAGCTGCAGCCTGGAAGACGGGCCTGGGGAGGGCTTCCTCTGGGACAGAATAAGACAGCACGGCCCCTTCGGTGTCTCCTTTGCATGTGACCTCGGCTGGCACCACGGAAAGGAGGCAGCCAGGAGGCGGAGGTGATGAGCTCGGACCCTGGAGCCAGGCTGCTGGGATCTAATTCTGGTGCCATTTTGCCAGCCCTGTGACCTGGGAAAGTTACTTCACCTCTCCATGCCTCACCTGCAAAATAGGGATTTATATTAGCAACTACCTCGGGGAGCTGTTATGAGGGTTCAATGAGTTATTACATAGAAAATGCTAAGCATGGCTCCTGGCCCCACAGGAAGCACTAGCAAAGGTACACATATTAGCTATCATTTACCTGCTTTTAAGTTCTAATCATTGGATGCCTGCCATACTCTTCTTCTTTATGATTGCCGTCTCCCTCAGAAGAATATAAACTTCATGAGAACAAGAACGTTGCTTTGTTCATTATATTATCTCTAGTGCCCGGAACAATGTTTGCCACAAAGAAGGCGCTAAGAAGTAACTTGTTGAATGAATGAAAGGAGTCAAGGCCTGTGGGCCGGGGAGCCTTCTCGCTTCTCTAGGTGACTTTGCTGACCTCTGCTCTGCTGTTCCACATTTTATACTCTAGCCCAGCGATTTTCAACCGGTGTGCCACAAGAATTTTTAAAACATGCGATACCTGACTATTTAGTCAGGGGCTCTGACCTCTTTTCCCTTAGATTGTCAAATAAAATTTTAAAAATGACAACAGCCAACCGGTGTGAATGAATCAAAATTATACCTATATGTTTGGTCAGAATTTTAGTCATTAGTTTATGTGTTCCATGATAGGGAAAAGGTTGAAAATCGCTGTTCGCGGCCCCTGGGAGCATCCCTATGCCTATTTCTAAGTTTCTTGAGAAGTAGCTAAGAGCAGGGATTGTGGAATTCAAACCCACCCTCATGAACACTGACCGTGGGCGAATCACGGAGCCTCCCGAAGCATGAGTTCCTGCTCTGAAAAGTGGAATAACAGTATCTCCTTCCACGTGTGATTTGAGGACGAACTGGGGTCATCCTCAGGCACTGACCTGGCATGGAGCACTCACCGACGATCACTGTGCTGGTTTGCCCTCAGGTATGAACCTTATTATGAGCCCAGGGCCCCAGGGGCTTCTTCCCAGGTAAACCCCGTCTTCTTTACCTGCCTCGGCAGGATGAACAGGTTTAGGGTCTGCTGCCCTCCGCCATCTGCCTGCCATTTTAGACAGTTGCCTGCAGCAAGCGAAGCAATGGCTGCGCTTTTGAAGTTGGGGTTCGCAGGGCCGTGCCACTGCCAGGCTGCTTCCCTGAACCCTCTGGGGAATGGAGGACAGGCGACTCCTCTGAGGCCTCCCCGCAGCCTGCAGCCGCCCGTGGGCCATCAGACCCGCCTGTGCGCCCCCTTTGATGTCAGCTCCCAAACTGGAGCCCCGCGCGGGAGCTGAGGCCCTGGCTTTGAAGTCGGCCTATACACGGAGGTTCAGGAGCAGAGTCGTCTGTCGTGGCTCGGAGCACGGCTGGGCCTGTAAAGGCAAGCGGAGTGCCGCCAACACCTGATAAATA